AAGGTATATTAATCCCAATTCCAGTCCCAATAAATTATCAATTGGCCGATAGAAACGATACTTTTTCGTAATTTCGTACAAATACGCATTGTTCCGTGACGTATTGATGGCAGTAAGCGACTCGGCCATTCAATTTTAATGGGACTACAATTCGTTTTTTGGTACATTTAGAATTTTATTGAATGTACGTGAAACAAATTGTGTTTTTGTTTTTCGATATAAAGAAATTTTAAAAGGATTTTAATGTACATAGTAAGATGCAATCATGCCAATGTTTGAGTGCTCAATACTTCTAATATATAAAATGCTCGTGTCTATATGTACGTTCCCATACTCCTCCGGCACGGCTTGACCGATTCCTATGAATTTTTTATTGCATATTCAGTAAGTCTGAGAACCGGCTACTATCTATCTTTTAAACCCCTAAGTAATAAGGGGTGAGATTAACTAAAAAAAGGATTTTTCGACAATTTTTTTGATTTTATTTTTTTATGACACATACAAAAATACATACAACCCTTAATTTTCACCCCTCTACTATCAACTCCTATTTTTATTATTGATTGTTACTTTTATTGAACTAAAAAAATGTTTCCTAGAAATAATATACATGGCAATACAACGTTTGCTGGGTCAGCTAGTATTGTATAAAAATACAATACACAGGCATTCAGTAGGTCAATAAAAATCAAACAAAAGTTTTCGTTGGGAATGTGTCTTAAGTTAGTCATTGTATACAGTGTTTATGAACGACTCCGAAATAGCTTCACATATTTTTGGATTTTTTTTTGATTCGGTTGGTCTGAGAATGTACTAGTTATATCCCTAACTCATAATTGGCGTGTGCCAATGGTCATGGGATAGTTGGGTTTTATGATGTATTAAGAATACCTATAATTCTGCATTTTCACCATTCAGATGAAGGGTAACCAACCATTTTGTAAAACTGTAACACTTATAAGGCAAAACAACGTTTGCAGATTTATTTAGCTATTGTATAGAAGTCCCGTGTCGGTAGTTTGAACGTCAATCAATCAAAGCTATTTAGTAATCTGTAAATGTACATTCATATGTTTATAAAAATCTGTCTTATTGCACTCTAGTTAAATTACTCTTTCGTCTCTTTCTGTCAAATTGTGTTTACTGTGAGATAATATGAGACAGACTACAGTTGAATTAGTGCAATTAGCTTTTGAATAAGGATGTCGTTAGTTTTATGGCAACCATTAAAATTTAGGATAGTTAAATATTGGCAAAATATTTGCAAAAGGAAACACGATACTTAATTATTCCGTCGCTCTGTTGTTCTGTTTCACTGCGCATTGTGAAAAAAAGTGAAACAAGTAATACTCGAACTATTAGCACAAAAGGGGATTTTTTCTCCTTTTCGTTTGACCGTTTTTGCAAAGTATTTTTGGTTGTTGCATTATATAAATTGTCGTTCGTGGGTGAGATTAAAGTTTTTGGGAGATTTTATTTCGAGTACAATTCATATTTTTTCATTCATCGTATTGAGTTACTGATTTTGAGAGATTGAGGAAGAGATAAATGAGTTTCATCATTGGACGTTAAGGCAGAATACAAAATTCCATCCGTATCACCTCGACGTCCGTCGTTCCACAACTGAGCGTTTCTTAAGGCAGTTGTTGCCGTACATCACCACTCTTTGGAACCAGCTGCCCTCTGAAGTATTTCCGAACCAATTCGACTTAGGGTCCTTCAAGAAACGAGCATACCAATTCTTACTAGGCCGCCAATGTACTCGCGCGTCTTCTAGCAATGTGTTTATCACGTAACATTAGGTGAGCCTCCGTCGGTTTGCCTCCTGTTACATAAAAAAAGCTGATTACGCCAATATCGTAGTAAAGCAACAATTTAAAGCTATCCCACGCAAAATATGCTTTAAATTTGGTGTGACGGGACTTCAAACAAGATCACATGAGATATTTATTAAAAAATGGGGAATGATGACGTAGCATAGCTTATAGATGTTGAGTGCATCTGGCGTTTGTGCACGTGACCCAGAGCTTTTTTTATGAAGTTCATACACAAATAACGCGATCTGTGTTTCGTGTGGGTGTATGACGCACTTCAATATCTTAAAGCTTTGTCCTCGTTGTAGTAAACAACCTCCAAAGTTTGATTTTTGGCCAGCTCTGACGTCGTTGGTTTTACCAACGCATGTTTTTCAAGACGAACGCATTTCTATTGTATTCCTTCGCCGGCAATATTTCACTTGTATTTTTTTCACACCAGATCTCTTTGAGTCGACCGCATTGTTTCCGCGGCTTTGTTCGTCCCTTGTTTATTTTTAAAGCTTTTTGTTTACAGCTACCGTCATTCATTAGTGGCCTTCGTGTCCTTAGAATGGGGAGAAAAATTTTCCGCTGTTGAATTAAAATATTTTAATAGATCACGCTCGATGTAAAAATAAGGCCTGGATTCACTTTCAACGAATCAATCGGCTAGGCTAGAACAGTGTTATGGTAAGATACCGGACTAAGAGTCCATATACATGACTTACGGGAGTACTAAACAATCATTTTGCCTTAAAATTTTCTGATTCGCTCGATTCTAAATGTTGATGTTCGAACTCTGACTTCAATGGTTTTTTTTATGGATGTACACAAATATGTACAGACTTTTAGGGTCCTCTGGGCGTCGTATAGAATAATCTATGACCATATGGTTATTTAGATACAATTGGAAATTTGCCTTTAAACTTTTAAGATGAAGATTTTTACGTCCTTATCGCACACGTGTCATTCGAATATAAATAAACGTAATACCCATACAGAATAGGCCAAAGGTTTCTTTCCCACGATCCCCTGATTTCACGGCCACTAACAATGTGCAAATTACAATCCATTGTGAATCTCTCTTTCGTTTGTATTGCGATATTATGATAAGTCGTTGTCATAATACTTTGGTATCTAACTGATCTTGTAATTTCTTAAACGAGATAAATGTTTGTTCTTTATATCGTTTAAGGTAAAACAAAACGTAAATACAATTTCTTGTTAGAAGTTATTTATGTTCACGAACTTTTACGTTCAAGCTAAAGGTGTATTTGTCTTAATTTATTTTAAAGGTCATTAAAGTCCTTTATGCCTCAGTAGTAAGTGCTACTTATAAGATAGATAAGTAGCACTTACTACTTTCATAAATAAGGCAGTATTCCTGTTTCTTTAATCTTGCAAATTAAGTGTAACTAGCCCCTAATTAACTATTAAATTTTTTTCATTGTCTAAAATATAGATAATATTTGTCCATACATCAGGTAAAAATCTTGATATGTTATTTTAAAAAAAAACACAGCCTATCAAATATCAGCATTTTTGTCTGTTTCCACGTAGTTTAAATTTTATGATTTGTTAAAACCAAACTCTGACTTTCGTTTATTTGTGAAAACTTAAACCAACTAGTTAACAAGCATTTATCGGTAAGGGAATTAACGTTTATTATTTAAAGGTAATATTTAAAACATTCAATATTTTTTGTTTTATTGTCCTGATCACTGTTTACATATGTTTTAATTGCTTTGTTTTGTTCGATTAGTTTTGTCTCATATGTATTGTATTTTTGCACTTCTTGCTTACCTTATCTAATTTCTTTTTCTCACAGTGGTTGCCTGGAGATCACTCGAAAGCAATACAGCCAGTTGCCCTCTTTTTCATTTAATTATGTCAATTGTATTATATTTCATTATCCAATAAATATTTTAAAACATGATAAATGTAGGCGGTTCTTTCTCACGTACAATATTACCATATAGAATGCATTCAGAATTACACATACAATGGCCGACCTCTTTATTACAGACACAATACGTTTTCTCATTTTCGTGAGATTCCTATTATCCGTTTTTATCGCATCAATGATGAACGATTCATATAATAAATAATCGATGGCATCGTGTATTCAACGCTTTACAATACAATGAGACTGATTTATTTTTGCATCTGAGAATGAAGACGTCTGAGAAATGACCGTTCATTGGAGTTCATTCGTATGTGTCAATAATAAATAATCCTTTACTGTAACTTATTTTGTGGTACTACTATGTGAAACCAGCTTCCTACGGAAGTATTTCCGAACAAACCGACCTAGGTTCCTTCAAGAAAAGAATAACTCGTGAGTCCTCTAGCAATGTATATAAGTGTCTATGAGCGGTATCACTTAATATCAAGTGATCTTTCTGCCCGTTATGTAAAAAATACTATTTTTACTGTACCGATTAACGGCATTATCAAAAATTTCGGCGTGAATAATTCGCCTTTTCGATCTAATTGTTATATATTTTAATTGATCTATAACAGTAGTTTTATTAATAAAGTATTTAGACTATACAATATAAACTTAATTGACAGGTTCTACGCTGTCTTTATAAAATCTATTTAGGACATTGACAAGCTTTGGCAAGATGACGATTGGCAAGCTATTTAGGACATTTAATATGGATTCAAATATAAATACTAGACTTAAGTTATTTGTATAACACTGTAAGTTATATAATATCATCTACGAAGTTATTTTCATAGTATATGTGTCATAAGTCATAACTTAAATATCATGAGAAATCATTATTGTTCTTATATCTGTAATAGATACACTAATAAACGAATTGACAGATCTATTAAAAGCTCTTCAACAGCAGGTAACTGAGAGCTTTCGAAAATGTTGACTGTATATATCTAAACAGTGTATATAAATTTTAAAGTCTACAATAATAAAGAGCATGATATGCCGTTTGAGTTTTCAGTGTCAAAGTTGTTTTAGCTGTCACTAAATGTTTTGCGTGGATGACATTATTAATAGTATTGCATCGATATACAGTATAAACTCTGTGTATGTAAAGTTCTTGATTTCTTGAGTTCTTAATTAGATACTTGATGTATCAATCTTAAAGCAGAAGAGACATTAATATGATTGTTGCGTTATTAAATTAGTGAACTATACAATTTTTAATCAAGTATCAAAGTTACTCACGCTTTATATCGATGTACAAAGTATGTATAGCATTAGTTAGACTAAGTTTAAAATACGACAACCGCTTTATATTGTGTAAAATAATAGACGAAGAAGAAGTGATTGAAGTAGCAACAACGACACCAATAATAATAGTAACTGAAGTGCCCCTAGTGGGAATACCGACAGTCAACACCTCCAGTAATTTGATACAGTATTTGACACGTAAGTTTATTTAAATTTAACTTAATTTTTCAGGAATGTTTTCAAGAAACAAAATTGAGGACCTTTATTTGAAAAGCTAAAGCAGTTTTTTGGCTGTTTCGACTGATACACTTCACAAAAATTTATAGAATATAAGTTTGACAGATGCATATGATGGCTTCCAGAAGAACAGCAGACATATGAGCTCCGGGAATGAAGCACGAAAGTTATTGTGGTTTAAACAGATAATGTTATCTGAACTATATGCTAAGGGTCTGTTTCACAATGTACGGATAAGTTCTACATAAGTTCCAAATTAGCTATTTATTACTTATTGGTAGGATAAACACTATTGTTGCATTTCATGACTGTCAGATACGCTATTCGTCACATAAATCCATCATAAGTTATGAAGTCCGATGAATGTCAAATACACAATTTATCTTCCAAATAATTTATGTGTTCCATAGCTATTTGGTACTTTATACATACATTGTGAAACAGACACCTAGTCTTATTACATTTGTATTAGGAATCTCCATTTTTTTATGTTTTACATAATGATAAATGCGTGGCGTAGAAACGGGTTGGACATATTAATATGTCGACTAGGAATTATATATTATTAATATTTATTGTAGGTTAAAATGAACCTGGGTTTTATTTGTGTAATATCAGATATGTCATAGATCTTATTTCGATAAATTTTGCAAATAATGAAAAAGGCACTGATTTGACACGGCAATTGTATATAGTAGTAGGTAAGTTAAGTAAGTTGGAAATTACAAAAAGCATATTTAGTAACAAGTTCGGCAGTTAAATCTTAGCAGTAAAAAAATAGTCGTAACGAGTTATAAAATGGATCACATAATAAATGCTGCTGTGAAATGGGCAATTACCAGTGGGCCATCCTAAATTTACCTAAAAAAATTGTAAGTCATCCGTACTGCTGCATTGAAATAACTGGCCAATTGTTTTATTTTTTCATCTGATCATAATAACTTCTCGTGAAGTAACAGTTCAAAAAATTTGTTCCCATTGAAAAATAATCGTAAATATTGGTATCTCGTTTAATTTATATTTTCAAGAAGGAACGAAACACTATAGAAAGGTTTAGTTTTGAAGTGTGAGACTCTGAATAGAACTGAACACCGACCTAAATAATTTATATCTGACGCTAATAAATTTGGTATAATTTCTAAAGGGGCCCCCAAATAGACCCACTTGGACCGTTCCAAATTATGCTCATTAATTGAGAAGTGGTTCACTATTCAGTTTAACAAAATAGATGATGTGAGAATTACTTACAATATTTATTTTAAATATCACAATAAAACGGCTAATGAAAGAAGATAATTGAATTAATTGAAAACTTTCGGATGGCAACACAGAATGTCATTGAATTTCTTAGGTTACTATGATTTATTGTCTTGATACTTCATACACTTACTCGTTTTATTTCTTTTACATCTTTTTTCCGAATAGTTAACAGGTATAATAGCCTAAACTTTGTTTTATTTGATAGAATATTTAGTTTTTTTCGCAGGATTTGATTATTCCGAATAAAGTTGTGTTTTATAACAAATATAGTTTTAGTTTTCCCTGCAATGCTAGTCCTTTAAGTATCAATAGTAAAAGACTAAATACGTTTAGTATTTATTTTCATAGAAATACAGTTACTATCAATGTAAAAAATAATTAAATAAAATCAAGTACTTACTACTAATAAGTTTAATCCACAAAATATATCTAACTTTTAGGGATACCATACTAACATTTTTTTAATTTGCCGCACTTTTTCGTTATCTTCTTTCAATAGCTCTAATTGTGTATTAAAACAAACAATATTTAAATCTCTTTAAAGGATTCAAATGCGAACACTTCTTTCAGTAGGTCTTTACGTTCGTACGTAAATAATGTATTCAATACGGTTTTGTCTCCGTTATTAGTCTTATGTATTAAACTAACAATGAAATAATTCTAAGGGTCTTTAAAGAAAAGCGTGTACCAATTCTTAAAAACCCAGCAACGCTAGCCCTCCGGAATTTAGAGTGTCCATGGGCGGTATCACTTAACATCAGAGGAGCCTCCTCTTTGTTCGCCCGCTGTATTACAAAAAAACTGTTTTGAAATATTGGATTTATTGTCTATTAACAAGCGTATACTTTCTTAGTCTGATTTGTGAACTAGTGAACTGTGGAATCGACTCCCGGTGGGGATCTTCCCTGGGAGATACTACTTCTATATAAGAAAGAGCATAGTCCTCAAAGACCGTACTGAAATGGGTGTCCGAAGGCTGCAAAGACCGCTATAAAAAAAAACTGTTCTATTTGTATACGAAAGTCACATTTAGGGCTAAGTCGCGACATTGAGACTTGTATAAGATTTTCAGTACTAGAAAGATTTTATTCCGTTTCGTTACACACATAGTTAAAGTCCACAAACACTAGGTTGTGTTTGTTAAATCTATTAACTGCGATTAAATTAGTTCGTTTAATATAAAGGGCAAATAGAAGCGTGAAATTTTTGATTGCTTCGGGTGTTGCAATAAATCGATACATGTTGTAAACTTAAATTCTATTGCATTGTATCGCTAAACCGAATTCGGTGAATTTATAGACATGGAAAGTTTTAGTACCCGTTTCGACGACCGTCTTTCCACAACGGAGCGTTTCTTAAGGCGTTTTTGCGCATCACCACTATGTGGAACTAACTGCCCACTTCGACTCAATTCGACTTAGAGCGTAGCGTATTAATTTTTAAAAGGCCGTTTTCCCCTTCTATAAAAAAAATCAAACTTGAATATAGTTTAAAAAGATTTTCTATATAAAGTTAGACATATTGGTATCGCTCACGAACGTACGGACTTAAATGATCCCTTGTATACGTTAGGTGGTGAGGATTTAAAACAAATGACGAAAAGAAAATGCGTGAAAGCGTCTCATGATTGCCGTTTGGTCAATTAAACATCAATGAAACGCTTTTCGTCTTTTGTTTTACGGAAAATAACAAGACAAGAGCAGATTTTTATTTCTTCTGGCTATAATCTGTTCGAAGAGTTAAAAAATATGGAAATTTCATAACATTACCTAAAGAAAATGATTTCTCTTTAATTAGAAAAACTTAATTTATTTCATTCTTATACGATATACAGCAATGGCATATTGTATTACCAAGGATTAAATGTAAATAAATACTTTTAAACTATCTTTTAAAGGTTTCAATTCCACTTAAAACCACGAATTTATTGGCGCAACTCAATTTGCATATTACTTTTTACAAATTCAACGGCATTCGATTTTAAATACACAGTTTAAAGTACATAAATTAATTTTAAAATCGATGTTACGTGTTGGTTGAATTATATGTTTTATCGTTAAATAAGTATCGTTGGTTTTCGGTCACATACATAAGTGATTATAATAAATACTAACTGATGAAGTGTGGTCGGTTTCGGTGGTATGAAACTGATTTTGTTTGATCGGTCGGAATTTAGTATTAAAGTCCTTTAAAACATTAAATCTTTATTTAATTAATTTAAATAAATCAGTGACGCTACAACCTTTTGTATCAGATTTCTGTGTCTGTTTCATGTTCATTTGTCAATCAAATAGGAAAGTAGGTGATCACTGATCAGCCTCCTGTGCCTGACACACGCCGTCGACTTTTTAGGTAATGCAAGCCGGTTTCCTCATGATGTTTTCTTCACCGTCGAGTGAATTTTAAATGCACACATATAAAGAAAGGTCATTGATGCTACGAACGGTCGTTGGATCGAACCTACGACCTCAGGGATGAGAGTCGCACGCTGGAGCTACTAGACCAATACTGCTCATGGGGTCCTGCACCTGCAATAATTTTAGGGGTTATTAAAATTGTATTGTTCTAAAGCAATCTTTTGTATGTATACAGTATAGCTATTCAATTATTTAAATAATAGAACGTGTATTATGAATATCACATTGCTAACTTTAATGCAACTCAAAGTTAAAGCTTATTAACGAAGCCGTATCAGAAATTACAAGTGCAAAAAAACGATACAAGCTAATTAGTAAAGTTCATAAAAAATTAAAGTCGAGTTTCAGCGGCCTGTAAAGGAATTGTTTGTGGAGTGACTTACTCCTTGACCCGGTATTGACCCCAGGCTTTCCGTAATTGCTGTATGCTGATGGCAATTCAGTGATATGCATGCGTTACTAATCAATTTCCCATTTAACTGTTCTCGGAAAATGCATCGCTTTTTTTCGATATTAACTAAGCGCTACGTTATAATCTTTTGAGGCAATTAGACCGTTTTTTTGCCATATCGGACGTTATACTGCAGTGCATACTAATTCATTAGCAACGGCGCGTTACCTTCGCTTTAGCAAACGTACATTTCGTTGTAATCTGTGAAACAGCGAGCGCAAAATCGCTCGATGCAGCAATTTAATTTCACACACAGCGACGTCTAGGCGCCGCGTAATTTAATCTCGCTACGTTCCCGCGAATAACGCAAAAAATGGCCGCTGTTTTATTTGTATGCGTGCGTCGGCACGTCCCGATTCAATCCGCGCACATACAAAACGTGACCGTCAACGTCGGGAATAAAAGCGATCCGTCACTTGGAGCGATAATTCAAAGTAAACAAATCACAACAATTCGGTTAGTTAGCAAGATCCCATCAGCCCTATAATTGGAAGCGCAGTCATTAAGCCCGCGCCGTGACGTCGCCGCGAATATAGATTGAGTTTTTATTTGCGGTCAGGGGTGAAAATTATGTACCGACCGCTCGATATGAATTGTTTCGCCGAGCGCCGCTCAAAGCCGATTCGCTTTTTTAGATCTCCAATCTCATCGTGATCTCTGCGGTGTCCGTTCTATGAATATTTTAACTCCTGTGTGACACTCCGAAAATACGTTACTCGTTCGTTTATTAATGTCACATTGATCGCAGTCGATCTTCGCCCGTGGGATTAGCCCCGAATGTGTATAGAGAACTAAATGGGATTTCATTTTCTAGTTCAGGAATCAAACGCTCCCGGCGGCGTATGTCCAATGTTCTTGCCTCTCGGGGTTCCGTTAGACATTTTGTTCGGGTTCATTTGACGCAGGGATTCGCGTTCTCTAGAGTTCACGTGTCTTCGTGATCTTCGGACATAATTGTTTCGTGGCTCGGGGCGCATTTTTCCGCAAGATAATGCCATTAATTTCGCTGGGAGTAATGAAAATGTACAGCCTCGCTATAATGCACGATAACAATTCACGGTCTGAATTTTTGTGTGTCGCAATTCTGATGTTGGTTTAGTGAGTTCCGGGAAGCAATTGAGTTTGCTCGGCGTAGCTAAAGTGGGATACTTATGGTTGGGATAATATTGTTAGTAAGGGATTCAAGATTTCTTAATTTATTCATTGTGTAAAATTGGTTCGAATGGACGTAACAAGCGGCCAGTAAACTTTAATCACGGTGACCCAAATAATTTCTTGTCGGATACCTGTGCGGCTTTTACCCGGGCACGCCACGCATTTATATTTCAAGACATATCTACTATCTTGAGATGTAAGAGGTTATTTTCACATTATATTTCTTTGTTATACCTATCTTATCTCGCGTAAAAGTGTTCTTTCATACGACATTTTTTCGGTCACTGCACAAGTCTGCGTTGACAATATTGTGTTTTATTTTTGTAAAAGGTATCTAATATATGTGTTTTGTGTGTTTAGATCCACCGGAAATTACCATAAGGCCTCGGAATTTGCAAGTCCGAGCTAACGGCATCGCTGCCTTTTACTGCGCCGCCCGGGGCGACCCCAAGCCGAATATACAGTGGAGGAAGAACGGAAAGAGAGTTTCAAGTAAGTATATTTTTGGAGTGTATCGAATATATGAAATACCCAGCGGTTATTAATGCACATATTTATTGAACGAAACGATAAATCTGGGCGCTAATAGCACGCTGAGATTTCATTGTATTTTAGGGATGTTTTCGCCCATGTCCATATAAAGGTTTGTCTTTAAAATGCTCCTGAATAATAGTTTCATACTATTTACTAATTAAAATGTTCAGAATATCTAGTTTAGTTGAAACACAAGGTATGCTACGCATTCTATGTATTTATGTATGTATGTCACTGAACTCCTCTTAAACGGCTGGACCGATTTGATTTTTTTTTTGTATGCGTTTGGGTGATGCCCTGGATGGTTTACGTTTATCTATACAGCAAATAAACAGTTAAACTTCTAAACGGCTGGACAGATTTTGATGAAATATTTTGTGTGTTCAAGTGGAGTCGAGAATGATTTACATTATTAGCTTTTTTTGTGTATGTAAGACGTGTGTACAGGACAACGTACTAAGTTAAAGGCTAAATAGAAAATGTTCTTTTAACAATTATAATAAAGCGTTTTATATTTCCATATAAAGTCAATTTCAAATGTTAGTAGTTATTATATGTTAGACGCCTATAGATATGGCTCTTGGGTGAAGACTTCCTCCAATCCTTTTCAGATGTCTGCCAGTCTTTTCCTACTTCTATCAAGTTTAACATAAACAAGTATTGCCTTCTAAAATATTTTTTGTGACTACTAAACGGGAAAATAAGTTTCCCATATCCCATTTCTGGGCTACGGCACTTCATCATATATTTAACGTGTGTAGCTCAATATTGGGTTATTATCAAAATTAATTATTGATCAAATATTTTTATTGTTACCCTTCGGTCCAAAAATGAGGCCAGAAATATTGGCGCTTCATTAATTTTTAAACGGCAACGGTTCATGTGTCAAGTGCCGGATATGACCGGTTAGTTACTTCATCAAAGGTATTTAATTTTACGAGCAAAATAAAATTATAGTTTAAATTGGTTAACGTTTTAAGCGGCTCCAGAAATATTGAATGAAACATATTAATAATGTACCTATGGGTTTTACTCATTATTGCAGGAGATATTAGGGAGCGTTCTCTCAATTTTTGAAGATAATTGACCCCCCCACCCCGTGTAACGCGCCATAATGTTTTTTGTTTTTCTGTATAGTAAAACGTTTCGTGACCACCTAGTGACTCTTTATACCTTAAAGTTACCATTATGAGGTGTAAAGTACTGGAAAGTCGAAAATAATATTAACAATAACGCGTAATTCAATCCCCGCCCCGCATCGTAACGTTTTACAAAATTCGTTACGAAATACTTGAACACTCCCTTAGACAAAATAACAAAAAAAAAAAAAAAAATTTATTTTTTTTCTCTTATAGGCAAACACAACGTGTATGTTATATATATAAGTGCTTGTCACATCAAATATTTTATTTTTCTTGTACCACCAGTGTGCCTTAACGTTGGCAAGCTTTTATAAAGAAATAAATAGACACAATATAATAATATAACTTTTTTTGTTAATTAGACTAAAAAGGATTACAACATGTATAAAATATTATGGTCAATAGTATTATTGATTTAAAAAAGTATAGTTTTACATGTTATTTTGAGTTTGAGTTGTTGTTTTTTATAATATATATATATATATATATATATATATTTTTATTGTTTCATATAAGGGTTGCCTAGAAGAAATCGCTTTTAGCGATAAGGTCGCCCGTTGCGTAATAACGTTATGTACCCTGCTTTTTTATATGTATGTTTTTGTATAAGGTATCGAAGTGTAAATCAATAAATAAATAGGTCAACAATGACTTGTCAGACTTCCAAAATGAATAGCGTAGGCTATTTTTATGAAACAGTTAATTCCTCTTAAGAATATAGAGATTTAATAAATGTTCTCTTTTTAAAATGCTTACACTGAGGTCTATTAAATCGAAATTACATGTTTGTAGTGAATGAAGGTATGATACGCGTGACCCGTGATTGAAATGTAAAAACTCCGATTTTGGCCCATAAATATGTGCGGCCGGTAATGACGGCTATAAGCCCGAGGCAATGAGGTGGAAAAACGTATCGCCACGCAACACCCCTAATGCCTCCACTCTCCCGAATAGTTCGATCAGCTATGAAAAATGTAACGCCATATCTATGATCTATCATCGGAAGCGGCCGACGCTAAGAGTGAACCAGAACTTTGTGGGTTCCATAGGGTGTAGGATAATCGGGCTCTCTGATTAACCGTGATTTATCGTCAACGTCAGTACAATCGGAGAGATAATTTAATTCTTAATTCAATTAAATTTGTTTTTTACTATGTCTGGAATTTAGTTCAAATTTTTTGTTTTTCTCAACCCTGTATTGTATTGATTTCCCTCGTTGTGTCCCTAATTTTTTTATCCAAAAAATAAAAAAAACTAGCGGACCCGACAAACGTTGTCCTGCAGGATATTTCAAGCGATTAGGCTATTAGAGTATGAAAGTACCGACAGCGCCATCTGCCGGGCTGGTTTGTAAATCTAAACCATCCAGGGCGACACCCAAACGCTTACAAAAAAAATTCATTCAAATTGTTTTTTAAGAGGAGTTCATTGAACTAATCTTTATATAACTTTCACTGAACGTGTGTTAAAACATACACACGTACATTGTGCCTGACACACGCCGTCGACTTTTTTTGGGTCTAAGACATGTCGGTTTCCTCACGATGTTTTCCTTCACCGTTCGAGCGAATGTTAAATGCGCACATAGAAAGAAAGTCCATTGGTGCACAGCCGGTGATCGAACCTACGACCTCAAGTATGAGAGTCGCACGCTGAATCCACTAGGCCAACAATGCATACTCGCGTACAACAATAGAATAGAAGCGAAATAATGAAATGTTAATTGCTATGTAACGAATGAATGCAATGTAACAGTTGCAGAGAGTGTCTACGTCTGGCTATACTCTCGGGGCGTAACTCCGACGATTTAGGAAATCGCCACGCTTATAAAACTAAGAAAGCCTGAGTGAGCAAAATGTACAGCCTTGGCTCGTACAATAATAACATAGTTATTGTAATTTAAAAACTCGTTAAAGCTGCTTAGTTGATAAGTTCAATACATTATGTGTTGCGTGACAACTTTTAGTTTTAACAACATTCGCTGTCGACTTAATTATTTGATAAGCTTTTATAGTTACCTTGTCATGTCTTTAAGAAATATGGAAATAGGTCAGTTTTCATTGAAGTTTTTCCCTCTTTATGTAAAGAATGAATGTATCAGACAAAATATGCATACTCGGAGACTTTTGTGATAAAATTTTATACATTAACTAAACTATTTTATACATTCTGCAACTTTTGGGAATTTTTAAGTTCACGAGTACGTGTGCCTTGCCTAGGATACAGGTATCATGGCTAATATTTGTAAATTTAAATATCATTTTCAACGCACTGGTGAGCATACAAATCTATTTGAATCTATGTTTTAAATCTCACAGCTCTCTAACATTGAACACAACTAAGTCCGTTTTCTAAAGCATTTTCTTAGAAAAAAAACGAGGATGATATCTTCAAACAGGTTCATATTAAACTGTATTTCATACAAAAGAAAATCTACAAATAAACTCAAACATGATCTCTAATATTCCCCTAAGTATTCTGTGGAACCCTAATACCGTTCACACCTCCCTGCCTCCATACATATTATGTATCTTAAATCAAACTTTACTCTCGATTTGTCTGTCTGTCAACTACTATTTGCGGCCAGGAAATCCCTGTTTCCCTTTCAGTTTTGTACGGGTATAGTTCGGGAAATGTGAATAATTTATTTATTTAGTTTACTAATAATGGTGAAGTCACTAAAATGTATAAATAAAACGGTTGTTATTTCATCTTACGAGTTGTTGTTGTTGTAGGCAGAATACAAAAAACCATCCGTATCACCTCGACGTCCGTCGTTCGACAACTGAGCGTTTCTTAGGGCAGTTTTCGCCGCGCGCTACCACTATGCGGAATCAGCTGCCCACTGAAGTATTTCCGAACCAATTCGACTTAGGGTCCTCCTAGAAAAGAGTGTACCTATCCAAAAAAACAATCTGAAATCTGGAATTGATTTTATAGATATTTGGTTATTGCTTAACTGGGGATTTTATTTAAAAAATGTTAATTTATGAATGGAAAATTTGTAATTGGTTTGTAATGTACTAACTTGAATATTGATTGATTTCATTTAGTTTTTTCTCAACATATTTCGCACTGCCATATATTAAAAATAGATTGTGAATATAATAACTAGTGTAATTTGAAAAATTCATTTTTTTTATTCGGGTACTAAATACTAACAAATTCATATATACCTGTGAATATATAATGTCTGTAAAAATACTAGGAAACTGTCAATGTGATTGACGTAAGGGTGAAAATGGACAAAAAATCCGTACATATTAAATTTTGATTCGAAGAAATAACAATTGTTTGAACCCCGAGAACAATAAATGTGACGGCGCGAGCGTCAGGTCGGTGGACAAATGTCAATCACGCGTCACTCACTAATGGATGACGCCTCACCCCACATACATTTTACATTTATAAGATGGAAGGGGATGTTTTTGGCTTGTTGACTTGACAATTTCATGTTAAAATTATGTGGCATATAATATATTTTATGCACCCAACAGAAAAATAAGGTCTTTTAATTATCTTTTGTAAGCATTCTAAATAGCTAAGGTTAGCATTCTAATGGTGTATAACAGACTAAATATTAATGTGAGTTATTTATCGTCTCGGCTTTGTGAAAATATGTTATATTAAACACAATGATTCAATTCAATGATTATGGCGCGGGCTATAAGCGATCTCCTTCAACCAAAACGCTAAACAAATTTCAATTAATAAAGTATAGCATTGCGTAATTACGAATCTAAAACAATATTTTTATTGTTGAAAAAGTGAATAAAATATATGCTTTGTATAATGGTTAGATAGATTTTATATGTTAATGTTATTTTCACATAGCACAAAGTAGCACTGTGTGTATCTAAGTACCATAACTAGGTTCTGAATTCTACTCGGACGAATCAGTAACGAATGTACAGTATAAAGATATTCAGAACTATTTATAGTTATGTCAAACATAGGGCAAAGGGATTGTGATTACTTAGATACTCAATACATAAAGTTCAAAACATAATAGAAGTTTGCTCCGTATTTGTCAGGTTATTTACCTATAGCATAGCTTAAAATTCAAATTCAAAATCAAAATCATTTATTCATTTAAGTAACACAATGTACACTTATGAACGGCAATAAAGATATACATATTGATTTGCTGTTTTAAAAGAGTACCGAGAGTTTTTTACGCCGGCTTTTTCTCTCGGCCTACACCCTCTGTCTTCTTTGCCGATGAGTAGGGATGCCTAAAAGTTCAAATTTAATGACGTGGAATAAGTGATACATGTATCTTATGTTCCATAATAAACATATTTTATATTTTATTTTATTTTATTAAATGCTAAATGCTTCTAATTTTACATTTACTGCCAGTTCTCAAATCAAGGGCGTAGAACGGACGAGAAGAACTGGCAATAAATCTTCCGCCACTCTTTTTAAATATAAAATACTTTTATATATTTACACTTTCGTATTCGTAAGTTTATAACTTGTCTTGAACCTTGGATCTTCGTAGTTAAATTGGTTTGACATATAATATATGGTTGTAATAGATACTTTTTTAATTAAATGTATTTATTTACAGCATAGATGCCAAACATTTATTATGATCTATCTACTAACATACCTTAAACTAATAATCAATTATTATTTATATTATATAGTTTTTATATTGTCGAGGGAATTAAGTTCCGTGGCGGTTGTTGTAAGGATATGTTAAGATATATATGTTAAATGAAACACTTTGTTTGAAGCTGGGTAACAACTGACTTTAATCGATTAAAATATGAGATTATAACTGACATAAAATTAGGGGTTGCGACGCTAACAAAAATTAACTTGACTTATTAAGAGTTCGTAAATGTAAGTGACGCTTATGTTATTGGACATTATCGGAAACGAGAATGAAATGCAATTTATAAGTGTGGAAAAAACTAAAGGGCTCATATTGGCTTCAAGTGTGCGATAATTGTTAACGTTTTGTTTACGCTTTTAAATATTAATACACATACATGAAATATACATACCTTGTCTAATAAATAAAATTCTCGTGTCACAATGTTCGTTCCCATACTCCTCCGAAGTGACTCGACCGATTCTTTTGAAATTTTTTACGCACATTCAGTAAGTCTGATAATTAGCTACTATGAAACCCCTTAGTGACCCCAAAAAAAATATTATTTTTTTACGATACAGCATACAAAAATACATACAACCCCTAATTTTCACCCCTCATCAACCCCTGTTATTGTAGATAGTTACTTTTATTGAACTAAAAAAATGTTTCCTAAAAATAATATACATCGACAATGGATGGATGGATAAACGTTTGCCGGGTCAGCAATATATAATATATATATATATATGTAACTTAACTAATGTTAGGTTAAATAATTAGGGTACCGCTAAACCGCCAAGTTTGATTTCACATTATTCATATTTTGTTGCTTCGCTTGGTTAGGTTAGCTACGTTGTTGTAATTATTCCCATGCTTCCAATCTTGATTTGATTATTAATTCCTCCCTAAATATAATATTAATAAGTTGTGTGTACTATGAACTTTTTTGTACTAAAAGGTAAAATATTGTTATTAGTCTAACCTTTTCCATTTTTGCTGTATTGTTCCCACAATTGTTGTTGTGTGTGTTTAAATTAATATATCGTGCTCAGGGCTTGATTTTGGGAATGGGAGTAGATGAAGCCACTACGCCCAACACTTCTCAGAAATATATTATACCCATGAAATAATGTCAAACCCTCTCTATCCCATTATATGTACTGTTTGTATAACAACACATCTTAAAGGATGAATTCCAGCAAAACAAGAAGTAGACATAATTCGTAACTAGCAAAAAACATAGTATTATATTTTAAAGCAGCTCAGCTTGTCTCGTGAAGACAACGATTATTCTCAGTTGCTGTGAAATGCATTTCCTTGGCACTTACCACGAGTGGCGATTTAGCTCTGTCGTCCAACATATCTCACTATATATGCATATTGCCGAGCGAATCTAAACTTTCCCCCTTGAGACAAACGCTGCACAGCTGTTTTTACTAAAAGTCACAAAGTATAGGACGCTTACAAAGAGCCTGGACGCTTCCTAGTTATAAGATTTTCAATAAACATAAATTCTAAATAGCAAAGGATTTTAATCTTTGTCGAGAAATGAAATTGTTTTTTCATTACTCTTTGCGAATTGCCTTATGCAACTGTTCTCCAAGAGCGTTGTTCAAATTAAGATTTTTAAACAGCTTATTAGCCGTGTTTCGTTTGTTCATTAAAGTTAAGACTTCTAAAGCTTATTTAATATCATTCAGCGCGTATTATATTCTCTATATATTATGAATTTAATAAATGAACTAATATTGTTATGGAATAGCTTGTTTTGAATCTGCTTAGGCAATTAGAAGCATGCTTTACTGAAAGATAATTATTTTGACGAAGTAAAATTTTAATAATAAACATATAGTCGCTTTTAATAAAACCTAAACATAAGAAACAAATGTACAGTATTTAGAATTTTCTTAACGTACTTAGTAATAATAAAAAGAATGGCAGTATTTCTTCACTGTATTGCGATACTTATTCGTAGCTCCAGCTCCGGAGTCACCGCTATTATCTACCAGGCGGCAACTTAAACCTTTTATTAGCGCTTGTGCACTTGAACCCCACGGCCCAAGAGTCTCTAAAAGGGAACAAATCGAAGTTGGAGGAAAGACTCTCTAATTGAACCGTCTTTTTATTACTGCCTGCTCTGCGGCTGCCCCAGCTTTTTTGCTAGTCCGAGGGAGGGTGAGACGGGGAAATTTGAATTGTTATTATTTATAGCAATACTCAGAGTCATCTACTATCACATAAGATAGATTTATAATTTTATTTAAATACGGGGTCAACTCAGGGTGAAATTTAAAGCCAGATTAGTTAACGACTAATTTAAGAAACCATTGCTTACATTTCTAGGCTTCTAATTGTACCTTTAGTGAACATAATGACACGGGTCTTATGACACGGGTTTTAGTATCTTAAATAATTCAATTTTAGCAATGTTCTGAAATCTACAGCCTCCTGATCTGTTAGACAATAAAGTGTACAACAACTGTAAGTGAAATTGAAATACTGTATTTTTTTCAGGCATGCAATCACGTTATCAAGTATCTGGGATGGACAAAGCGGCAGGTCCCGCTGCGAATGGAGCTGTCTTGCGCATAGAACCGGTGCGTGCGCAGCGTGATGACGCAACTTATGAATGCGTCGCTGAAAATGGCGTAGGTGATGCCGTGACTGCACTGGCGACCCTTACCGTCTTTGAAAGTAAGTTATTTTAATAATATTAATATTTTACGCAAATAAAACTTAACTTATTCGTGTAGGTTACTTTTACATAGGTCTCCTATATTAACTGCTATTGCCAGTTCTGAAATCAAGGGTGGACAAGAAGAACTGGCAAGCAACTGCCGTCAAGCATCAATTATTTAAAGTAGGTTTTTCAATGTTCTTGTAGAGAAAAATATCTCTGTATTTAATAAATGTAGAAGTTAGCAGCTTGCGTCTTTAGCAAGAAGTCATTTCAAAAGATTTTCTTTAAATTAAATTTTAAGATTAGAACTTTGCGTCCAAAACAAATGAAATGCTTAGTTATGAATTTTATGATTGAGCTAATAATAAAGTAATTGTTGAGAAAAATATTGATCAAAATAATTATTTAAAAAAAGCTGAAACCGGAACTTGTGTGTACCAAAAAACATCTACGTCGCGTTACTAACGAAAATTATTTTGTATTGATGAACGTATTTCTGAAATCTAGTTACCCTCGCCTCGCCCTCATTAGCATAAATTTACAGAAATTTTCACTTTCATTGCGAATATTGCACGAAACTACTCTCAAAGTTACCTCACGTCTTCTGTGAGATGAAAATAATTACACTTTCGTAATAGTAAAAAGTATGTTTGCTTTTTGATTTGTTAAGACTTTAATATCTGATATTTTGGGGTATCGATAAACAAATCACTTTTGCTATAAATGCGTTTTAATTATTACATATCATTACTTCGTTTACCGATGGTTTCAAATTTTTCTTTCTTGTCTAATCCCCTGCCATAAAGTCCAGGAACTTTCCATCTCTATTCCGTTTTTACATTGTTTCTCATCTTGTACACATGTTTCGTAAAGAGATATATCAATGGCGCTACAACATTTTAAGTCTGGTCCTCAGATTTCTGTATCTGTTCCGTGATCATTTCCAATAGGAAAGTGATCAACCTTCAGTGTCTGACATACAGTCAGTTTCCCGACGATGTTTTTCTTTACCGTACTAGCGCGTTAAATGCGCAGACAGAAAGTCCGTTAATGCATGGATCGAACCTACGACCCTCGCACGCTGAAGACACTAGGAAAAAGATATTTACAATACAATAAAATCATACACTCATTTGCGAAGCGCGTCACGCGAGATACGATGGAAACCTATGAATATCGGTTGAAAGCTCAAATTACATCATTTTCAATCAAGGCCATCCACAGCGCCTTTTGTGCTTACTAAGTCCAATCTATAGTAGAACTCTTTATAAATAAGGTTTTTTTTTCAACTTTCACCATACGAATGCCACATTATCCCTTAATAATAATAATTTATTGCAAGAATATGGTACAAAAATGTGTAAGGTGGTACAATCGTAAGTTCGCATATTACATTACACCCTTAAAGACAAGACCAAGGAATTTTACATTTTACATTATTAGTCATATGAACTGATCAATTCTTATATTATTTGTATCGTACATATGATATCATACGTTATTAAATTTATATCAACTACAGTGTCTCACGCAAATAATCATTAATTGAATAATACATTTTTTCCAAAAGTAATACACCAAGGCGAATTTTAAAGACTAGACGGAAGATCTTTTAATTCTTTTGGTAAATTATTGTAAACCTTAATTGCCATACAAAAGGTGTTTTTCCTTTGTAACATAGCGGTTTTATTTATATAATATTTCCAAAATATAAAAAAATAATTGTCCAGCCAAAGCCGAGACTCTCTACATACATTAATACATTTAACTGCGTGAACCAAAAATATGTATAATTTTTTTTGAAATAAAAGGGTTAATGGAAATTTAACAGTATTAAAGCCATACATAACAAGAAATGTGTGATCTATCGCGATGAATAATGAGTTTGTGCTGAATGAACGTTTAACCGATATCATTGAAAGTGTTCGAACAGCGCTTGACAAAGCACTTTTTTGATATAAAGCGCTTTTGTACTGAGCACAAACAGTGTTTAATGAAGTATTTTATTGGTTTTTCGATTATTAAATTCCATTCGTTATTTAAGTGTTCGCAAGCTAAAGTGATTTTTTACTGTAATAGGAGGCAAACGGGCAGGAGGCTCATCTGATGTTAAGTGATACCGTCGCCCACGGACACTCACATTGCCAGACGGCTTGCAAGTGCGTTGCCGGCCTTTTAAAAATTGGTACGCTCTTGAAGGACCCTAAGTCAAATCGGTTCGGAAATACTTCATTGGGCAGCTGGTTCCACATAGTGGTGGTGCGCTGCAATTTGTTGGTGTGTCCTCTTGCTTCACAGAGTTGACAATTTATATACATGCAATTATTTAATCAATTGCCGTCTAAAATTCGTAATATTAGCGCATATAAGCAATTCAAAAGGGCATTAAAGATACAAAACAGAATGTAAGTAGACTAAAATTGAGACGGCTAATGGCGACGTGTATACTGTATGTCGTTCGTACATATTAAGTTACTTATGTAAATAAAATACATTATTTTTGTAATGAGAAATAAAGTTCTTCAAACATTATTATACATAATATGTAATAGATACTTGCGGAAGGGAAATATTGGTTTAATTGTTATCGAATTATGTAACAATTTTACGGGACGTAGAAATATACCGTGTTTTTTAGCCTCAATTTGGTTTTAAATACGTCGCTATTTCGAAATATCAACTATCAGTATGGAATTAATTGTAAGATAATTATATTTTTGAATTATCTAAATGGGCCTTTAGGCAAATGGTTAAGTTATATCTGTCATACATAATCAGAACTTATATTCAGTTACAAATATTCAATCCTCACAATCGACTTGACACCATTAGGTGGCGATAATGTTCAGTTATTAAGGTAAAATTAAGAGATTTAGAGCTAACTATGAGAGTCCGTATGCCAAAACGCAATACGTTTTTGACATGTGGGCGTCAAACATAGCGCCAAATATCGGCTCTTAGTTTTGCCCTAACCCATTCCAAATAAAACATTTTGTACTTGTATATGTAAAACTATACTAGCACTTCTCTTAAAATAAACCGACTAGAGTTGACGAAAACTGTGTTGTATACAGAACTCCTTAAAGTTTTACGCCTCAAATATTTACATGTATTGAAATGTATCGATATCAAAATTGTACGTGAAAGTTGTCTGAAATCTACTAAGTTACCCGATACTTTGGCATACGATGTGCGCTCTTTGACTAAACTTCGATATTTCCTACGATATTATTTCAGGTTCGACATATATTTTATATATGATGACACTCTCAAATACAGAATGTACGCACACAAACATTGAAGCATAGTTAAGGTCTTACACGACTTTTGTTTGATTAGATGTAATACAAAGACTACTTTATCTTTAAAAAAATGTTTTAAGCATCTACCATATACCACTGAATAATTGTAATCTAGTTATCTACAACACAACACAGAGTGTGGTCATGAATAAAGTTTCGATGAACATTTTCGATCAATAATTTTTTACCCTTTTACAGTGTTCCTTTTTTCTTAATAAAAAATTAAACTAATATAGAAATAAAGGTTCAAAAATTTCTGAAAATCAAAAAGATTTCTACTGTAAATCTGTAGATTTCGTCTTTAGTGCTGGGATAATAAAAACTATATAATTCTATTAAATATTTTAATAGTAATAGTTATTGATATGAGCCGTTCGTGTTAGGGGTTCGAAGCCGCAACATGTTTTGAAAACTAATTTGCAGTTGTGGAACTTGTGTAGTTTTTTTTCACTCCTCACTTTAACCTTCACCGCTGTGTACTGTTTTGTATCCACAAAATAATAATACTATAAATATTAGTTGTTTCTAGTTCTTGCAGGTACACATTATCCACTTATTTAAAGGAAATAATTAATACAATAGACAAAGAAATGCGTTTGGTATAAACTAATATAATGATTATTTTAATATCCATCCAATATAGGATAAATTAAATCATCGTAATTATTTATCTAAACTACTGAGAACTATCTCAGTACCAAATTTTTACAAGGCTTGCCGTGAAGAAATTGGGCATATGGGAAACTATACACAAGCAACTATTCTGATTACACAGTTCAAGTTGAAAAATTCTATATGATAATTTACCTTTAAATTAGATACTATGTGTGACTAGGTGCCAAGACAGCTATTTTAATTGTCTATGTTTTGTATTCTACGCATTTGCTGCTAACCAAGTAATTATAAAACCATTATCATTTTCTGGTTATCTTTTATGATATAATTAGCGAACAAACCATTATTAGAACAAAGGCAGTGTTGACATCTTAATTTAGACCTATAAAATATTTAGAAATCGCTCTCATACATTACATATACACCAAATTGAGGTCTATAGTATTAACAAGGTAAATAAAACAAAATCATCCAAAATTAAATAACTTCTTTTATTTCAGAGTCAAATTTCTTTCCTACATAAACGTGTTAGAATGGACGCCGTATTGGCTGTCTCGGTACGCGATGGTAATACAAGTGCACTGTGGAGGGCTTTACAAAGCGTTCCCGCGCGTCACCACTTCCGCCATATGCATTTCGCAACGAACGCTTATTTTATATCACAGTTACAGATGTTTCATAAGAATGTTTTACCCGCGTCGGGTGACGCACGAGGCCGCCTTTAGCACTATTGACTTTAATTAATAATAAAAACTATGCGCATTCACATATACCCGAACAAATCGCGAATCGGTAACAACTACGAACCACTACCGACGGGCCGCTAACGCTTTCACGCTACACATTCCTCTTTAACTCTTGACATAAAGAACTTAAGGGGGCAAGGCTATGATAATGGCTCAAATATGCGCGGTAAGAATATTGCGGGATGTACGAGTAAATCTCCGCACTTTTTATGTCCGTGCGCCAGCCATAGTTTAAATTTAATAATAAATGACGCTGTACATCTCATACACGACTGCGTTTTTTAATATTGTGCAAGAACTATATAAATATTTTTCGTCCTCTACTAAAAGATGGGATTTATTACAAAGATATGTCATAAATCTGACCTTAAAAACGGTTAGATAAAAATAACATCATAAATAAACTATGTAACAATTTAATTCACGTTTTATTTTTCACGGCAATTGGCCAGCGGACGTTTTACCTATTTAAGTGGATTAAACTAAAGAAAAATTTTCTTTCAGTCAAAATTAAAAAATACATTGAAACTTGAAGATTCTT